ACTGGCCAGGCTAAAATTTCCTCTCTTTTATCTGTTCCCTTTGCCTTCAAACTGCAGATTTGTGTGTGTGTGTGTGTGTGTGGGGGGGGGGGGGGGGGTTGTCCCTACTTGATTAAAGATTTAGTGTAATTCCGCCGTTCCCCCTCCCCCCCAAAAAAAGGTTTAGTTAGAAATTTAGACAGTTGACTCCTTTATATCAACCCATCAACCCACTTAGGTAACAGGTTTTTTTTGTTTTGTTTTTTTCCCTGCTTCTTTCCCCAGGGTAATTAGAACAGCAGGTACTGGTTGAATGGAAAAGTTACAAGAATTGTAACTCTGCCAGGGGAAAGAGCTAACACAGCAAAGGGGCCAGGAGGTACAGCTTGCTGGGAAGGCCACTGAGATGATGGGCCAGGCCGAGAATCGAATGGGTTTCAGGAAAGGGGCCGTTTGGGTGACGAAATAGCTAGCCCAGCCGAGGAAGGCTGAAGGTTGAGAGTTAAGTTGCATAACCGTTGGTCAAGATGTCCTAACCTTTCCTGCAGGGAGTGTTCTGCTGATACAGAAGCGCCCGACATGCTCGGACAGTGTGGTTGTTACTGGTCCTAAGATGGGGGCTTTGCTGGATGAGTGTTCAGTGATTTTAATATGACTGGAGTAACTGAACAGCTCTGCCTGCGAGTGTTCCTCTTGTCATGTCTGTGATTTGGAAGTTATAAAGTTCGTTGAGGCATGAGTTGGAACAGGGGCCCTCCATGTATCTTATAATGGAAGGACAGATTGGAGTTGGCCCATGCGTGTAAGGAAGGTTGGGGATGCTGTGTTGCTAGTTGATGAGGGTAAGTCAGAGCCAGCAGTTCCGCTCAAGTGGGGTTGGTGGTGTTCAGGAGGTGATGTGTTGAGGGTTCGAGAGAGAGAGTGAGGACTTAAGAGATGTTTAAGAGATATGGGGAGGCCCTAACTGGTTTGGCTCAGTGGATAGAGCATCGGCCTGCAGACTGAAGGGTCCCAGGTTCGATTCTGGTCAAGGGCATGTACCTTGGTTGCAGGCACATCCCCAGAGGGGAGTGTGCAGGAAGCAGCTGAATCGATGTTTCTCTCTCATCAATGTTTCTAACTCTCTATTCCTCTCCCTTCCTCTCTATAAAAATCAATAAAAAAATATTTTTTTAAAAAAGAGGTATGGGGAGGACAATAAGAGGAGGGGAAGGCTGGGGGGGGGGGTGGTGGTCATTGTAGACTCTAACAGTGATGGATATAATTCCAACCAGATGTATAAGGCAATGGGGCATTAAAAAACAAAAAATGACAAGGGAGATCCTGAGGAGTACTACTGGCCAGAATAAAGGGTAAGGGCCTCCAGGCTAAATTCTAGTTAAGTTAATCCCAAGTTGACTTCTAGCCAGAAGTTTATTTGGTCCCAAGAAAAGTCTATGAAATCTCCCTGATGATAACAATCCCACAAGGTCAGCAACTGTGTTCAGTACTGGGACCAAGAGGAACGGGGACTGCGAGTAAGGATAGGTTGTTCTGTGGTAGGTTGCTGGGTAGGGAGGGGGCTGGCGGGGCGGGGCTGAGAGACAGGGACCAGCACAGACAGGGCAGTGAGGGGTGATGGGGGAAGCCTGGTTCATAGGGGATTACGGTAAGGGTCCAGGGCTTACGGTTCCTCAGGAATTTGTGTAAGTTTGAGGCAAGTTGGTCCGAGGTTGACACTCCAATACAAGCTGCTTGGCGTGGAGCCTGGGGTGCAGGGGCCCTCTTCAACTTGGAGGAGTGGACCCAGGATGGACATCCCTGCAGCTGGGCTGCCGTCGGTGTGGTCAGGAGTAGCTGGTGTGGGCCTGTCCACTTGGGCTTCAGTGTCCCTGTGCTGCAGGCTGCCTGGAGGAACACAATCTCCAGGCTCTGGTGGAGGACCAAGAGGAGAGTCAGGGGGATGCCTGGGAAGAACGGGTAGGTGAGGGAGGCTGAGGGTAGGGAGCCGAGCCCAAAGGGCAAGGAGAGGTTGGAAGTTTCCCAGTAGGAAGGGCCTGCCATACCTAAGCTCAAAAGGGCTGAGGATGGAGGGCTCGAGGGGTTGACTAAATGCGAATGAGGGCGAAGGGAAGCGGGGTATACAGGTTTCTTGGGCCTCCACACTTAACTTAGTGAGGTGTTGCTTCAGGATTGAGTTCATTTTCTTGATGTTGCCAGAGGCTTGAGGATGGCTATGGATGTGTAGGCTCTAGCGGATCTGCAGGGCAGTGGAACCCCTTGGGCGACTTTAGAGACGAAGGCCAGACTGTCTGACTGTAGGGAGGTGGGCAGGCCAAAGCAGGAACAGAATGTTCAGCGAGGGCCTCACCCACCTCGGGAGCCTTTTCTGGGTGGCGGGAAAGCTTCTGCCACCCAGAGGAAGTGTCTACAAAGGGTAGTAGACACTTGAAACGCCTTCCAGGGGGCACGTGTATGAAACCAACCTGCCGATCTTGACCGGGAACGTGCTCTCTGGCCTGGCGGAAGATGGGGCGTTTTGAGGGCCCCTGGGGAGAGGTCTGAGAGCAAGCAGAACATTGGCTGTGTATGTGCTTGAGGTGCGTGGCCTTCTGGTGATGGGATTCGGGGTGAAGGAATTTAAGGAGGGCTGCCATCCAGTGGAGGGAGCTGTGGACCTGGGTTAGGACGGGGTGTCTGCTCTTCTGGGAGGATGCCCTCCTGCGGCCGTGAGCCAGGCTCTCCCCAAGCAGCTCCTGCCTGTGAGTCGGGGCATGTCTGCAGTGGTGCCGGAGGGGTGAAGGGTGGGGACAGCTAGGAGTTGGGGTTCTGCACACTGGTGTGTGGCTGCCCTTTTTGCCTCCCTGTCCGCCTTGTTGTTCCCTAGGGCAGGGAGTCCTGTATCAGATGGATGCCCCTGGCAATGGGTTACTGCTAGCACTTTGGGGGGTCTTGCTGCATGAAGGAGCTTGAGAACGAGGCTGGTGTTGGTGATCAGGGACCCTCTGGTTATGAGGAAGCCCTGCTCCGCTCAGATTGTAGCAGGAGTGGAGGGTGTGAAAGGCAGAGGGGAGTCGGTATAGATGTTGGTATCTGTTCAGTTGCTAGAGCTAATGCTCAAGTAAGGGTGGTAAGTTCTGCCTTCTGCAAGGAGGTGCGGGGGGAAGGGCCCCTATCCTATGGTCTGGGCATGGGAGACAATGGCATAACCGACTCCGCATTGACCGCTGTGTGCGGGCTCTGCCATCTACGAACCAGGTGTCCACTGCTTCGGGGAGAGGTGCGTTGGTGATGTGTGGGAAATAGGCTGCTTAAACTCTAGGCGGTCTGGGCCTGAGTGCTGCTCATTGTCACCTGAAGGTGGAAGTGGGAGCCAGGTAGCTGGGCTCAGGGAGGAGCTGCAGCAGAAGGTGGCATGGGAGCTCCTAGGAGGGTGCGATGAAGGGCCTGGAGTCTGGAGGGGGAAGGAAGAGGGCAGCTTTGGTGGAGGTAAGTTCTGAGAGTGCACGTGGGGTGTAGAGCATCATTGGCCGGAGAAGGTAACTGTCTGGCTTTCCTGGGCCAGAAGGGCCACTGTTCCCAGAGCCCAGAGGCAGGCGGCCAGCCCCTAACGGTGGGGTCCAATCGTTTAGAAAGACAGGCAGCGCCTTGAGGTCTGGCCCCGATTTTTGGCCCAGGATGCCAAGGGCGATGCCCTTCCTTTCATCCGTGTATAAAACGAAGGGTTTGGATAGGTCAGGTTGTGAAAAATAAGAATAACAGATACCGAAATCACCCACAGCCCTAAAGGTGAACGACTAATGTAACTGCTTCCATCAGCGACAGGAGCGGGGGTTTATTAGAATGATGCAACTGTAAGAGTAGAAAGTGGGGCAAGAAGGAGGAGACCTTAGGCTTGGTTTAGGGGGAGCTTTTTGATTAGGACTTGAGAGAGAGAAGCGTAAAGACAAGTTTAAGGCAAAAGATAATCAAAATGCAAGAAAAAGGAAGATTTAAGTGCTTTAATTCTCTAATTTCGGCAATTGCACAATGCTGGGCCTACGAAAATCTCTGATAGTTACATCTGGTTAAACCGTATGTTCCGAAGATGAAGGCCCAATGACATTTAAGGCCCTTCACTATCTGGCGCCCACTTTTCCAACCCATCACCTCCTCCCAGGGAACTGCACCCAGAATTACTCTCTGTTCTGCATTTCTTCACACCTGGGCTTGCTGGGCTTGCTGGGCTTGCTTCCTCTGGCCAGAATGACCTCACCTACCTTTCGGCTGTGAATTCCCAACACACCAAGATCCAAAACTACCAACCCCTTCCTTGAATTGGGAGAGTCTCTTGCTTTCCTTAGGTCACCTGTAACGAAGGGAATAGAAGAAAAAAGGCTAAGAGATTGAGGAGTTGAATCTTTTCCCAGGAAGTTTAAGGGGGACACCCAAGGTGAAAGAGGCGATGCACAGGGAGCTTCTCAGGAAAGCATCTGAGTAGCTGGTTGGTTCAGGAGGGAATGGGAAGTCCATGGGCAGGGGGCTCAAAGCCAGCCTGACTTCTTCACGTAAGGGAAGGACACTTTCTACATATAAAAATCAGTTTCTTCCCTTATTTTAAACAACACAAATCATTTATAATTTATTAGAATGATTTGTTTGCAAATGATAACACTGACCAGTTTCTAGAGATAACAGGTTATGTTCTCCTTTGAGTAATACTAAAATGCACTTGTGTTGTGCCAATAGGAGAAGTATGTCAAGACAAGGAAGAGACCATATCAGCTTTGGATAAAAAGCTTACCTCTAAACCCAAAACTGACCATGTGCCATCAAATTTACATAAAAAACAAGTACAAGTAGGATGTATCTCTCAATCCATCAACTCCCCTTGGGTGACAAACCTGCAGGGCAAAAAGGCAGTAGTGGTCACTGTTTACAGTTATCACTTTATCCAAGGCAAAGCTCTGTGCCCAGGAATGCAAGCATCCTAGGCCCTTAGGAATACTTGGCTATGCTGACAAAAGGGGCTTAGTATCACAACGAGGCAAAAACATGTAAAATAGTTCATGCAGCCAACCTTATTTATTGAGAAGTCCTAATTTTATTGCCCGATTAGTAACATGTTTGTTCCACAAACTAATTTCTCATAAAGCAAAGCACAACTTTTTCTTATAAATAGTATAAATTATTTTATTTACAGAAACTTGTTACAAAACAAATAGACTATATATTTCTTCTCTTTTAAATATCCAAAGTAATTTCTATCCCTTGACATTTGTTCTTATTCTATACAGCAGCCAACACAAAGTCCAGCGGAGATGCTCTTGATTCTGTGCACAATTACCAAACTAGTCACACATTTAACACAGGAGATTGCTTTTATGATCAAGCTCCAAAAACAGCAAAATGCTTTCAAGCCCCACATTCACCTGACAGTATGTAGTGCTCATTCAATGATCTGAAAATGTAAAATGTTTTGCACAAAATGTAAAAATGATTACTTTCTTCTAAACAATGAAAGTTTTAACAATCATTTTCCAAAGCCCAACATTTGCCCCAGGAAAGAATGAGATATCAAGGAATTCCTTGGCAACGAACTCGCAGGAAGACAGCTGCCTTTATAAATTACATTTTTCAAATTACACATTTTTTTCAATGTTCTCAGAGGTACTCTGTATTATATTTTTGGAATACAAAAAATTTAAATATTCTATTTAAACTCAGTATTTCATGAGTGAGTAACAAAATGGACACGTCATGTAAGTTGCTGGCTGACAAAAAGATTTGTAACGCCTGGTGCCACTGGGCAATCCACCACCAGCTGAATTATGGTGAACCAACAAGTCTTAATTTAAAATACCTATAAAATGACCAGCATTGGTGGTTTTCAACTCCTCCCCTAAATTTTTAGACACAGTATTTAGGTGGAAAAAACAAACTCCAAAAGTTCAACTGAACATTCAAGTCTTCTTAAAGAGAATCTGTCTAAGCTTAAAACTAGGTTCAGGCACTTTCAGTTTTTTTCCATTAGTTTTAAACCACATCACATACCAACACACGTGTGCTCAGAGGGTACACATACAAACACACAGGCACACACTCTCTCTCTCACATAAAACAAAAGAAAAGCAGTGTGTCACTTAGTTACAAGTCATCCACCGGGAAGCCAGGCAACGAGGGAGAAGCAATGCCCACTTCATCGGCTGAATCCACTCCCGAGACGTCAAAGGGACAGAAAGACGTTCACAGGACAGAGGCATCCCTTAAACTGCAAAGGAGGCAGGTTCTAGAACTATTGGCTTGGCAGTGAACCACTTCAAATTATAAAAAGGTATTTACTTTTATTAATTAATAAATAAATACTAGATGATCTCAATTGTACCAAAACAGGATATCAGAAAAAAAGACCTGTGCAAAAATACATATTTAAATATGTACAATTCATTTTTAACAAAATATGTCTTCTGAGATAGGGATACTTCCATATTTATAATAGAACAAGAAATTCCAAAATAAAGGTACAAAAGTAGGTTTTGTATAATTCTTTGTTCATCATTGCAGCACTTTTTTTTCGGTTAAGAAAACTGCAGGAGTTGTCATGAAATTCTATTGGAAAGAATATAAAATTATCTTGGTTTTAAATTGATACCAAAGTCTGTCTAGAAACAACCCAACCACTGCAAATTTGGTTTTTGCAAGTTAATTTAATTCAAAAAAATACTTGTACTCCCGTGTTTTAAATGGTCTTAACTTTTCATAATAAAAAGCAGCTGTAAGAGAAAATAAAATATTTGAACAACAGTCTAAAATTTAATAGCACTGTTTAGAATATGTCTGTTTGTGGCAGGCAGAATCCAAAATGGCTAATTTCCTAATCCCGATGCTCTTTGTACTATCGGGAGACATAATAAAAATCCAATTAAAACCTCAGTCTAAGAAATCAAACGATCAACACCGCTAATCTAGATATATCTACATTATTCTAAACCAACTTGCTACTGTGGATCCTATTCACATCTTTCGGAACAACATGATCTGTCTATAAATTCCATCGCTAAAAGCAACTTTATTTATAACCATCAAGTCCCCTTGGCTCTGAAAATAAATTCTACCCAAACCCCATTGCACTTGTCACCAAGGAATCAAGTAAGTACGTTCTGATTCCCTCTCACCTCCTCTCCCTCCACTGGGATGGAACAACCACACTGATTTGTCCTGACCACACCGCACTGGCTCATCCAGGCTCTCTCCTTACTAAGCTTTGCCGTAGCATCATTTAAAAAACATTTACTGATTGATTGCATAATAAGTGAACAAGATACTCTTCTCCCATCCTTTTAAAAAAATCAGTATTTTACATCAATTTATAGCTAAAGTATCTGCATAAAGTTTTTGTTTTCTTACATAATAAGATTAATTCTGTAGCAATTCACATTATTAGGCTGGTAACCAAGTATTTATTTATTCCACCAGTTGTTGACCTGAAAGTCCCTGAAACAGAAGTAACCCAAGAATTGCAGGGAGGAAGGGCTGCAGGACAGCCTGCCGGGCGTGCCCCGGGCAGGGAAAGTGCCCTGTGTTCAGCAACATCCACAGGCGCCTGGCTCTCCTTTCAGGAGCTGTGGTGGTGGAACCACCTGTTAGGAAGCTCCAACTTACCCCAAATTCTTAAGCAATGATGTTTAACATATTAAGCTCCTTCTTTTGGGCTGGGGAACTAGAAGAAGTATGCTGGAGGGTCTCTGAAGTGCTCTCAGGAAGATGGCCCGCATGAGTCCCAGGAGAAGAGGGTGTTGGGCATGTGCACAGACTACTCACCCCCTCCCCAACCCTGCACGCCTGCTCCCCACCCCAGTGCAGCCAGACACACTCTACGATGGCAGGGGGAGTGCACACACAGTGTGGAGAGCACTCACAGCGGTAGTTTACCTTCCTCCCAGGCAGTGTCCGAGGGGAGAGAGGGTAGTACAGAGAGGGCCTTGAAAACAGTTAAGTCTATTAATGACTTTGTGAATGACAGTTTCTACTGCATCCTGATAATTTCACTTTATAAAGGCAATTTTTGGAAAACAGGAGACTGGGCAAGGACAACCAACCCAATCTGCCACACTGTTTATCATGAAGACAAGAAGGATAGAAAAATTTCACCTCTTTGGAAATCTTGGGAAAAATGTTCTCATAGTGATTTTTATCCACCCTCCTCAAATTTGGCTTTCCATTATCAAAACTAGATTGCATTTTTCTTTTTTTTAAAAATCAGACAGAATTGCTTTTGTACCATGAAAAGTAAGCCTCTAAAATGATGTACGCTTGCTCTCTGGGCATCACTACTTTAAACCAGTCTGTAAGTTAGAAACTTCAGACAGTTTCTTATCCCAAATTACTTGCACAATGCTGGGCAAAATACAGGCTATGGTGTCCTGGTGCTAACACCCACATCCCGTTCCTGGAACCCTGCTGTTACCGCCCAGTGACAGCGCCCCTTCTCATCTCCCCCTCCGGAGGCTGCTCAGGGGAGCGCTGTCTCCCCTCCAGAAGGTGTCTCCAGTTAAGGTGCCTAAAGGCTGCAGTGACCTGCAGAGGGCAGTGTAGAAAAGAACTGGGGTGGGGAGAGGAGGGAGGGAGACAAGTCTATAGTAATGTTCTCCCAGAACATTCTTTCACCCAGCCAATCTACTCGAAGAGTGGCTCCATGATATACTGCAAGTTAAAAAACAACACAAAAATTTCTCACAGATTGGTAACGAGTAGTCCAGACCACGTTAACACTGATAGAAGCAATTCGGTGGCTGAACTTGATCCAGTGTCCTTTACGAGTACTCACTGCTACAGACATAGCTTCAGGGAACTCCTTGTTAAAAAAAACAGCTGCAGATCTCCACCCTTGAGGCCGGCAGGAGGTTGGGAAAACAGACTCAAAGGCATCGCGGAGTCCAGGGTGCTGAGTGGAGGTGTAACTTGTCATTAAAAGTGTCCGGACTATTCCTCCCCACGCTATTTTCAGTTGTCAGGGACGTGTCTTTGGCTTTCAAAAGAGAGGGGGTGGGAGAACACAGAAAAGGTAAGTGAGCAGTTGTACACGGTGCTATCCCAATATAAACGAGAACATTCCAAGGCCGAGGCCTCTGCAGTCTGCGTAGACTGGTGATGCCAGGAGCAGTCAGCTAAAGAATTTGGTCTTAGCTTTCAAAAACCATCAGTGCCCTTGGGCACAATCATTTTGAAAGACTGAGTTTTAGAAAACTGGAAGAGATGCAGACTGGGTTTCTAGCTTAGAGAAAAAGTTCACATGTTTGCCTTTGGTTTTATTTACTGGTTCTTTTTCATGGAAGTTATTCCAGGTTGTCATGAGAACTGAACAAGGTCAGATGGGCTAGCCCACACAGGTGCAAAAACTCACACAGAGCAGAGCCCATGCCGGTGAGAGTGAACAGAAGGGGAGCCCCATCTCTGGGCTCCCAGCATGTGCCACCGCATTGTTCCCTGGTGTAGGGCCTTCGCCCAGCTCAGTCATCTCTCCTTTAAGGTCGGCTCCATGAGGAACAGCGAGGCAAGATTGCTGCTTTTCTCAGAGCAGCGTTCTTTAAAGGCTTTGGAGTCATGGGTCCCCCTGAGATTTGGATGAAAGGATCCCTCTTGCAGTAAATGAGCACAGACATAAAAACATGCAATACTTTTTTGGGGTTCACAGATCCTCTGATTTCTAGCCATGGGTCCCAGTAGCATCTGTGCAGCATAATAAAAAGTAATCCACAGCACAGAGGAAGTCATTCTCAAATACAAAGCTGTCGAAACGAATTTAGAGAATAGAATGGAAATGTAGGCTGTCTGTCCTACTGGGACAGCCCCCCGAGACAGTGGAAATCAGAGTTGGCAAACTTAGCCTGTGTGGGCTCCATTCACTTTAAAAACAAACATAGCTTTAAAATGTGGCCCAATTTCTCACACAAGTCTGGCTTTAAAATGTGGCCCAATTTCTCACACAAGTCTGGACCTGCAGTATCTCCTTGAAGATGGTAACAAGTTAGCGAGAGCAGCAGGTGGGGCTTCCACTCCCGTCTGCCTGTCCCTGGGGGCGTGAGGTCTGTGGCCACGTCTCCATGAAGCAGACTGCACTCAGGAATAGACTGGGCATCGCCACACAGTGGAACAGCCCTCCTGCAGGTATACCATTTCTTGAGGTGTCTCCACTGCAGTTTTATGCTTATAAACGACATGTCAGCAGTAACTACGAACCAGGAAGTACAAGCACACCGTCACCTGTCCAAGACCCCGGCTCAAAGCGCCAGACCACACACAAACAGCCCAGGTGTATTTCAGGCTCAGAGAGGAGAGTTCAAGCAGCTGCTATTTAAATTCATGGATAATTCTTCCCCCCATCATTTTGGCACTGAGTGTAATTCACACAGACACTGGGGGAAAACTCCATCACAGTAAGAAACTCCTTGGTATTTTCTGGAACAGTCCTAACCTGGCATTTGAGTTAGGTTCTGAAGGTGAGGCAGAAAAAACAAACAAACAAAGAGCCTCACATTTTAGATCAGGGCTCTGGGGTGATGCTGCTGAAATTCCTGTTCGTGAGCAAGGTGAGGAGATATCCTGATGAATGAAACAAGATGAGAGATGAGCTGAACGTTAGAGCAAAGGAGGCTGGAGGAATGGCTCCAGGCGAGCAGGCCAGGAGAGCAGTGACAGGTGGAGGGGTGGGGGACAGACAGACATCGTAAGCCAGAAAGCCACGGTTAATTAAGAATCCAACACCCACGCAGCCACTCTGCATAACTCCACCACTGTCAGATTTCTTTTTAACTCATGAATTTAGGAGCGTTTAGTCTCCTTGCTATGCTCATACTTATGTCGTTTTTTCTGCCTCCCTGGAAAACAGGAAGGGGAAAATATACAGAGTGTTAAATCAGAAAATGTAAAATTCTCTGATGGAAAAATATTAAATGCTTTTTAAAATTTAAATCATCCCTTTCTAGGTCAGTTTGATGTCAGCCCAGCTTCCTTCCGAGGAGCACACTAGGAACTGCTCTCCAGGAAATAGCCTGCCTCCTTCCTGAACAGCGACCCCGCGGCCTGCCCTCCCCGCACCCCGCTCGCTGGCTGAGGGAGGGATCTTGCTGTCTTGCTGTCACACAGGACGGTTTCCATGGCCCTATCTGCTGAAATGCATTGCCGAGGCTTTCTGTCCCAGGACCAGCGTCCAGGGCATCAGAAATTTTGGCAAAGAAAAGCCTGTTTTACCTTTCTATGGCCACAATTTTTCCTTTTCTTAGAAGATACCAGAAAGCTAGACATTCTGTTTATAGGCAAACCACCCAACCCCACCACACAGATGTCCATGCTGGAGAAAGATGTCACGGGAGGGGATGGCTCCCAGCCCGCTTCCTACCTGATGAAGGAAGGAGCTGCTCGTCAGTCCTGGTGCCCCCGGGCTGGCGCCTGTGTGTTTCACGTGGACATTGTTCATGGCTGGCAATTTGGCAACCTTAGTGGGTTTGCTGCTGCTGCTGCTGCTGACACCGCTCGAGCCAGGCGGGCACTTCCTTTTCTTTCCTATGAGTTTGTCCAGAGGAGTGTGCGAGTGTGAGTGAGCGCCGTGGGAATTGATGGGCAGTTCGCTGGATTGGTGGATGAATGGGCCGAGGGAAAGCGTGGAGTCGCCGCTGTTCACCATCACACTCATCCTCTTGATGGACTCGGCAGGGCTCCCTCCAGGGGCACCCCTCCCTGACTGCTCGTGCCGGACACTCACCGAGTTCGCCTTATTCGTCACGCAGTTGAGGCCGATGCCATGGGAAGATGTTACTGTGCAGGGGTAGGGCGGCCCCAAGTGGGCCACACAGTTCTTCCTAAAAGACTCCATGGAATGAGACGAAGAGGCAGCGGCAGCGGCGGCGGCAGAGGCAGAGTGAACTAACGGTGGGGAACCAGCTTTGCGCTTCTTCCCTGAGGTTCCGCTGGCCCGGCTGCCACTGGTGTGACAGTCAGTGCTGCTCCCAGAAGACTCCTTGGGCCTTGAAGACTTGCTGGACTTCAGCTTCTGAGGTTTCCTGGAGAGAGGGGAGGAGGGCACCGAGGAGAGGCCAGAGGGCGTGGACGGGGATGAGGACGAGGACACTTGTCTGGACTGCATACTGCACACGGGGTCCATGGCCCCGGATGCGGCAGGCTGTGCATTTAGTGTGGTTCCGTGAGCTGGTACCGATTTGCTGTTTGGGGAGATGCAGGCGGAGGAGAGCAGGGCTGGGGATGTAGACATGGTGGCTGCTGCCAGACAGCTGACCCCACACTGGGATGTGGGCACTGAGTTTGTTCGGTGAGGAACACGGGTGGAGACGGGTGATGTGGTACTGGGCACTGGTGGGATTTTCCTGCAGAAAGGAGAGGACAGGGAGTCCTGGTCAGCGTGGCCCCTCCTGGACACTTCCAGATGGTCACCGCTGCGTCGCTGGGGCTGAGAGGCACGCTGCTGTCAGAGGCTCACTCCTCTCCCTCGGCTCCTTAATGCTGTCCCTGGGGCTCGCAGGTCCCGTGTGCCTCCCAGCTGCTACCGCCCAGCTTCACACCGTGCCCCCACCCCCAGCCCTGATTCCAGCTGTCGATTGTTCCGAAAATAGGCCACGACGTGAGACTCCCATATCTCCTGCCCAGAACACTGTTACCCCAGCTGCTGTTCCGCCTTTCGTTTCAGTCCACCATCACTTTCTTAGGAAACCCACCCTGACCATCCAGGGACTCCCACTGCTCTGTCCCGGACTCTGGCTCCTGTGTCACTGCCTATCACTGTCTGACCCTCTGCAGACGGAGCCACCCACAGCTTACTCACCACTGACAGCAGAGCCAGCACAGTGCCAGGAACACAGAAGGCTCTGAACGCCGAGAGAATTAACAAGTGAGGAAGGTAGCAACAGCTAAGTAATAACAACTGCTGGTCCGAACTACTGGCCTGAACGACGCTATGAGCTTCAGCCCCAAGTCTTGGGACTTCCAGTCACAGTGCCGAAACAGTGTATTCTGTTAATGATGTCTGGTAAGATATTTATTTGGGGACAGGAGTCATTTAAATAGTCAAAACAGGAAGGCCCCTTTTATTTTAGCTTTGATTTTAAAATGTGACAGCACCAACATTTCAAAACCCCTATGGCAGAGTAAGCACTGAGGTGCTGCCTCGAAAGTGGCCTGATGGGTGGCGAGCACCAGGACCGCTCTGCCCCTGGCTCTACAGGCAGCCCTGGCTGACCAGCTCCCTCATCGTTCAAGCGAGAAAGTTGGCTAGACCACTGCCCAAGGTTTCCACATGCTTTTAAGAAACTATAGTTACTAATAAAGGGAACTAATGATTGCAAGTGTTTAAAACTTTAAAACTCCCATTCAGGAGTGTGACTCTGGCCTTGGCAGGTGGTTCAATGGGTTAGAGCGTCATCTTGATTGTGGGTTTGGTCCCCAGTCAGGGCACATACAGGAGTCAACCAATGAATGCATGAATAGGTGGCTCAACAAAACCGATGATTCTCTCCCACTCGCTCCCTTCCTCTCTCCCTCTACAAAATCAATTAAAAAAATATGTGGCTCTGGCCCTGGTGGTGCTTCTCAAGTCCATAGGGGTGGGGCCCAGACATCAGGAGATCCCAACATGAACTCAAGATTGAGAAACCAGCTTCACCTATCCCTGTACTCTCATGGAGGACAGTGCCTGGCATTACCTGAGAGCTCAGTACAAATGCGGAGGCCCTGGGCCCACTCCATACCTACTTCATCGGGATCTGTGTCCCCACAAGGTCCCAGCACCTTTGAGAAGCCCTGCTCTCAATGAAGTACAGGGGCTCCTGCAGTGGCTTCTCATGGCCACCAGGTGGCTGAGAAAGGCAAATCCTAAAGACCAGGCTGCTGCTGGACCAAGTCCTGGGAAATGAAGAAGCATGGTGTGTGTGTGTGTGTGTGTGTGTGTGTGTGTGTGTGTGTGTGTAGGGGGAGGGGAGTTTGTGGCTCTCCCTAGATTACATTACTGGTTTCTCTCTTTAAAAGCTCTGTTAAGTCATTCATTACCATTTGTATAAAGAACAAACAAAAAAAGAATATGGCATATTGACTTGTTTGCATAAATGAACTTTGCAAAGATATAGAAGCAACTAATAAAAACGTTTGTCTAACCTGGATGGTGTGGCTCAGAGGTTGAACGTCGACCTATGAACCAGGAGGTCATGGTTCGATTCCCAGTCAGGGCACATGCCCGGGTTGCAGGCTTGAGTCCCAGTAGGGGACGTGCAGGAGGCAGCCGATCAGTGATTCTCTCTCATCATTATGTTTTTCTCTCTCCCTCACTCCCTGAAATAAGTAAAAATAAATTTAAAAAATATAAAAGCTCCCTCTCTCTTAAAAACAAACATTTGTATGTGGGGATGGGAAGGGGGGGAGGAGAGAGAGAACATACTCAAAGTCATGACCCTCCTTCTTTGGAAGTTCACAGTACAGAGAGGAAAACCTCTCCACACAGCCACTAGGAACTGAAACTTTCACCCAAACTGCTGGCCTAATCCCATAATCCACTTGTCCATATTCTGACGATAAAACATTCTTAAGACCCCTCTAAACTCTTAGGAGGACAATACCCACAGTTTAATGAGCTTCAGGTACGTCATAAAGAAGGAAGAGGAGTCTCTTATCTCCTAAGAACCAGGAAAACACACAGGAGAGAAAGCAGAGGGGCGTGGCTCTGGTTTTCTAAGTGAACACATGCAAGTCCTCTTAATGGCCATGGAGATAGTTCTGTAAGTTGTGGGCTTCACTCGACTTTATTAGGAAACCAAGGGAGGCAAACGGATGTCCTGGCAGAGTCCATTCAGGGAGGCACTGGTACATGATGCCCAACAGGAACTGGAGATGGCCTGTGGATTACTGGCCAGCTCCCTTTCACAAAGCTCAGTATTTTCCAAACTAGGTACCACCAAACACTGGTTCCCAAGATGCTCTCCTGAAAGAGGTTCCCAGGTCAGAAGAGCTTCAGGAATGGTCCACACTAGAAAGGCCATCTGCTTTGAGGTTTAACGATGGACAGTGCCCACTACTGCGCCAGAGAAGCCCTTTAGGAATGGCCGTGGACTCTCCTTCCACCTGCAGTCCCATCTGGGAAACACTAGCATGTGAAATGCCACACAAGACCAGCACACCAGCTCCACCACCTGAGACCTGCAGCAGCGCCACTGCCCTCGGAGCCGGGGCGGCGCCATGTGGCCCTGCAGCCTCTCGGACCTGGTCTTACACCAGCTCGCTTTCTTGCCCTTTCTCAAATCAATCACAGTCCATTCTGACTCAAGACTTCCCGCACAGAGTTCTTTCCGCCTGACACCCTCTCCTCCCTACCATCCCATTCCTCAGCCAGCCAGCTCAGTTCAGGATAAAGGCTTGCCTCTTCAGAGGGCCTTGCCTGAGGCCTGGCCTGCTCTATCTTCCACGTCAGCTCTTTGCCTGGAACCAAACTGCCTCTGGGCCCAAATGCTGGCCCTTCCACTAACTTGCTGTGTGACCTTGTTTCTGTCTCATTATCTGTAAAATGGAGATAATGGAGGTCACCTGACAAAGCAAACGGTGAATATTAAATATATTTAATACGTTGCGTGGCATACAGTAAGCTCTCAGTCAGTTAGTGGTTACCTCTCTTATGACAAGCTATCACCTGTCTCCAGTTTCTGTTTATTGGTTTTTGTTTCTCCACCAAGCAGAATGAGGGCTCCATACCTGAGCCTGGAACCCCAGCACCCAGAACAAGACATATTTGCTGAAAGAGTGAATGAATGAATGAATGAGAAGGGGCCTTTTTCTAGGGCTACTCAAAGGCCATGCTTTCATTTAGATACATTTATCTTCACTAAATTAGTCCCACAAGAAATAAAGGGCGCCCCCCTCCCACCCCAGAGGCGGTGAGACGGGCACTCACTTCCACAGCTGCGCGTTCAGATGCTTCTCCACCATGAGGTTGAGGGCGCAGCGAAGCCGGTTCCACCTGGAGTCAAACACATAATAGCCTCTTCCAATCTGCCGGCTCCCGAATGTGCAAAACTGGAAGAAAGAGCACAGGCGCCATGCTTGCTACCTCGGACAGCGGCACCCGGGAGGGTCTCTCCTGCAGGCCTGGAGCTACCACGAGAGAGCTTACTCTGAGCACACAGGCTGTGAAGCATGAGCGTGACAATGCCTGGCCCTGAGTTTCATGGAGAGAAAGGGAGAAGCATGACACGTCCCAGGACACAGTGCATGCCACCTCTGGGGCACCCTGTTCTGAGCTGCTGTCACACCTTCGCCGCATCCCACACGTACGGGCATGCCAAGGTCCCTGGCGCGCCCCCCTGCAGTGTCTCGTCCCTGCTGCGTGGGGAGGATCAATGTGGGGTGGATGTGGAACTTACAGATGCTGGCTGAGGATGATGACCTGAATAATGACAGTCCAGTTTTTCAACAGACTCTTCTTTGTCATCGCCTTCTCCCTCCTCACTGGATAACCGAGAAGCTGGCTCAGTGGCAGGCAGGGGAGGGTGTGGAGATTCATGGACTGGAGGAGGGTCAATGGGGGCACTCCCACCTTGCTGAGCAGGGCAGCCTGGAGGCCTTGGTGAGCAGAAAGTGCAGCACTGATCAGATCACACGCCTGAGAATCAGCCGCCTTAATTCAGATACAACAACGTATCCAAAACCATCTAGGGGGCCGGGGCCACCCCTCGCATGGGGCAAACCTGAGCAGGTGGCCAGGAGTGCAGGATCCTCTCCCTTGAACTGCAGGATGTCACATGCAGCGGTCCGCCAGGTCTAGCCCAAAGGACCCCTAACTAGCTTTCCTTTCTACAGCCACGTGGGGGCTCAGGTTCTCCTCCTAGTCTCCCCAAAGGACGGAAAGTGTACATGGAATTTAAGAGAACCTTTGATTCCTCTTCAAATGTCACCTGGATCTGGGTTACTAAGGCAATCAATGACAAAATGCTCTACAATAACGGAAGAGGGACGGGAGGTGATAAAATGACTAGGTAGCATTATTACCTTATGTGAAAAAGCGACCTGAGGGCCTGCTACTCAGACAGCAATGTGTTTTTCCTCCTTGTCTGATGGTTCTAGAATTTAGTTTACTTTTTTAGTTGGAAAACGTCATTGAGAAGATGGCCAAAGGAAGGACTTTCTAAGGAATCCTGCAGGGACCTGGCCACACTCTGGGAGCCTCCTCAACTGCCCGGCCATGGTGTTGCTCAGAAACCAGAGGGCTCGTGTAGGGGTAGGCTCAAGCTCACACGGGGGTTTCCATGAGGGAGGCACTTCCACCCCTCATGCGACAACTTCAAGGCTCAGACATGTGAGTGTGAAAGTGAGGGGATGGCAACAAGGTTGGCGCATTCCTAAGCAGAAGCCCTCGTTGCCCATGGCCACCACTGGAGGCCTCCTTCTCTGTGCCATTCTCTTTCCTTTGCTCAGGAAACTGGGCACATAGTCGTTTACTTCAACTTGGTTAAGTAGCAGGCACAGACATACATACATGCAGTCCAGCACTGTCTCTGAGGCCCAGGTATGATAAGTTCTCAGTAAAACACTCTGACCCATGGCTTAGTGCATGGCTAACATGCCTAATACATGTTTAGGCCAAAACCCTATATGAATGAATGAAAAAAAATGTGGATAAATGGATGCTGAAAAAACTGAGGCTGAATGTCCCCAGCAAGGGATTCCCACTGCTGCACTTTGTGAGAAGCGAGACAAATGGATGGGAAATTGCTGCCGAAGCTGTGGGAAATGTTCCAGTCACTAACCTGCAGGCAGGACCCGAGTGTCACCTGCTCAGTGGCCTGAAGAGACATGTAACACTGAGCAGGCGTGGAGCAGATACTTCTAGCTTTATTCTGCTGCTTGCATTGGTCCAAGAAAAGCCCAATGATGAACTCAACATTTATTTTTCCCCTTAGAGTAAAACCCAATTTAAAACCATCTCATCTTCTGAGAGTGACCCTGATGGACATCCCTGGACATCATGACCACACTGGGGCTTACAAGGTCTCCAAGTCTGTTCTTGGAAGGAGGAAGGAAGAGATGGAAAACTTGGCTTACCTTGGAAGACTGGGGGTGTGAGGTTTAGGTTTACTAGCTACGAAAGGCTTTGATTCAGAAGGAATCACTCCATGAGAGTTTTGGTGTGGCTCCTGTGAAGTTCTAGAAGGGGCGAGATGCGGGTCCCTGAGAGGCTGTGTTGATTGCTGAGAGTCCAGATGGCGAATCAATTCCTTTTCCCTGGTTTTGTTTTTGTGCTCGGCTAATAACACATCAAATCGTTTTCTTCTACCCTGGACAGCCCTCCGTTGGGTTAAGGAATGTGTCTGCAGACCAAAAGAATATAGAAACTGAGGTACCTCAGTAAGAATATTTTTCTATCATATATCCAAAAACATCAGTCCCAGTAAAAAAGCAATCTGGAACATTAGCATAGTCAAAGGCTGCTCAGCATTTGATAAGCTGATCTTTTGTCTTTAAAATATATTTTTATTGATTTCAGAGAGGAAAGGAGGAGAGAGAAACAGAAACTTCAATGATGAGAGAGAATCATTGATTGGCTGCCTCCTACACACCCCCCACTGTGGATCAAGCCTGCAACTGGGCATGTGCTACGACTGGGAATCAAACCATGACCTCCTCGTTCATAGGTTGCCACTCAACCACTGAGCTACACCAGCTAGGCATGATCTTTTCTCTTTAGCTAGAAGGGAGGCACATATTCCAAGCTCTACATGGATGAGACTTTAGTGATGTCATTTCCACCACAAGAAGGAAGGGATGCTCACTGTGCCACTCAGCACCAAACAGCAGATACCAACAGGTGTGACAGTAACAATTCCTTTACTGGGGCTCTTACCAACTCCATTAGAAAAATCCCTCTTTGGGCCATTTAGAATTTTAAATGTTAAAAGGGAAGAAACAATTATTCCATAATCCCATATAATAAAGAGGTAATATGCAAATCCCTCTTTGGGCCATTTAGAATTTGGCTGCCTATGACCAGGCCAGCAGAGAGATTAGTGAGGGATGACCAAAGGACTGAACAAGCAGGCTGCGTGGGGTGACCAGTCCGGCAGGGGGACCGTGAGGAGTGACCAGGCCGACAGCGGGGGAAGTTGGGAGTGACCAGGCCAGCAGGGGGCAATTAGGCTGGCAGGGGGGGCAGTGAGGGGTGATCAGGCCAGCTGGGGGGACAGTTAGGAGTGACCAGGCCAGCAGGGAGGAGGCAGTTGGGGGCAACCTGGCTGGCCTTGGGGGGCAGTTAGGGGTGACCAGGCCGGCAGGGGGGACAGTAAGGAGCTATCAGGCTGGCACGCAGAGGCAGCGAGGGGCGATCAGGCCAGCGGGGGGGCGGGGGGGCAGTTAGGGGTGACCAGGCAGGCAGGTGAGCAATTAGGAGCCAGCAGTTCAGGATTGTGAGGGGGATGTCCGACTGCCGATTTAGGCCCGATCCCTGCAGTTGGACATCCCCCAAGGGGTCCCGGATTGGAGAGGGTGCAGGTTGGGCTGAGGAGAACCCCCCCTGTGCACGAATTTCATGCACAGGTCCTCTAGTCTATCATAAAGTCCTCTTTTAGAAAGTGTCAGAGAGTAAAAACAGCACAATTGTTTCTCTATTGCCAGGAAGGTGCCATGTAAAGAGAAAGTGGCTCAGAGGACCCTGGAGATGGGCTGCTGAGACTGTACTAACACCTAGGACAGTACCTGGCTCTCAATAAATACTTCAAACATCTACACTAATAAAAGAGAAACATGGTAATTGGCGTACGACCGCTACCCTTCCCATTGGCTAATCAGCATATCCTTATGCAAATTAACTGTCAGCCAAGACGGCGGCCGGCAGCCATGCACTGAAGTGAGCAGGGAGGCTTCCTTGCTCCAGTGACTGTGGACTCCAACGTTCCCCGCCTGAGTTGCCGGCCTCTGAGCTGCAACTCTAAGCAACTATGTACTATGTTGCAAATAAGAAGCTAAACAAAACCCCAGAAACCGGCTGTCAGTCAGCCCCGGACCGCAACTTTGTATCGATGTTTTCAGCAGCGAGGCCTCAGAGCTAAAGCTGGCCCAGAATAAAAAAAAAAAAAAGAAAAAGAAAACAAGGAGCGGTTGGGAGCTTTTAGTCACCTGCCAGCCGGAAAAAAGCCCTCAGCCCCTCAGCCAGCCTGGCCAGGCACCCCAGTGGGGACCCCCACCCTGATCCAGGACACCCTTCAGGGCAAACCAGCTGGCCCCCACCTGTGCACCAGGCCTCTATCCTATATAGTAAAAGGGTAATATGCCTACCGGCACCGGGATCAGCGGAGCAGCGAGGCTCCCGGCACCGGGATCAGCGTGACAGGGGGCAGCGCCCAAACCCCCTGATTGCCCTGCAGCTCTGTGTGTGACAGGGGGCGGGGCCACAACCTCCCTATCCGCCCTGCTCTGTTCGTGACAGGGGAAGGCGCCCCAACCCCCTGATCAGCCCTGCTCTGTGCCTGATAGGGGGGAGCTCCCCAACCCCCTGATTGCCCTGCGGCTCTGTGTTTGAAAGGGTGCAGCGTCCCAACCCCCTGATCGGCCCTGCTCTGTGTGTGACAGGGTGCGGCGCCCCAACCCCCCCCCCCCCATGGGCCCTGCTCTGTGTGTGACAGAGTAGAGCCATAACCTCTCCATCGGCCCTGCCCCAAGTGTGACAGTGGCGGCACCCCAACCCCCTGATCGGCCCTGCTCTGTGGGTAATAGAGGGTGGCGCCCCAACCCCCCTCCACGGGCCTTGCTCTGTGTGTGGCAGGGTAGAGCCATAACCTCCCCATTGGCCCTGCCCTGAGTGTGACAGGGTGCAGCGCCACAACCCCCTTATCCGCCCTGCTCTGTGTGTGACAGGGGGCGGTGCCCCAACTCCCCTATCGGCCCTACTCTGTGAGTGACAGCGGGGAGCTCCTCAACCCCCTGATCGGCCCTGCTCTGTGCGTGACAGGGTACGGAGCCCCAACACCCCTGATGGGCCCTGCTCTGTGCGTGACAGGGGGCAGCGCCCCAACCCCCTGATCGGCCCTGCTCTGTGTGTGACAGGGGGTGGCGCTGCAACCTCCCCATCGACCCTGCCTCGAGTGTGACAGGGGGCGGTGCCCCAACCCCCCAATCGGCCCTACCCTGAGCGTGACTGAGGGTGGCATCGCAACCTCCCGATCCGCCCTGCTCTGTGCATGATGGGGCGGCGCCCCAACTCCCCAATCGGCCCTGCTCTGAGCCTGACCAGGGGCTGCACTTAGGGATTGGGCCTGCCCTCTGCCACCCGGGAGCAGGCCTAAGCCAGCAGGTCGTTATCTCCCAAGGGGTCCCAGACTGTGAGAGGGCACAGGCCGGGCTGGGGAACCCCCCCCGCCCAGTGCACAAATTTTTGTGCACCGGGCCTCTAGTAAAGTATATAAAAATAATGGCCCTCTAAAATGTGTCGAATGAACAAAGGAATACATATTGTCACTGACACACACGCTTGTCACTCCAGCCAGATGTAGAAGCCTCTCCTCATTGCTGAATGTCCCCTGGTGCATAACACAGAAAAGCCAGGTTAAGAAAGTCAGCTGAGGTGATGAGTAAAGAGGACTTCTACCGAGTGCTGAAGAACCTTCCAACACAAATCTGAGGCCCCAGCTCCCGTCAGAATCCTTTGGGAGCTGCCTAGGGTTCCCAGGGTAAAGACTGACCATGAACCAGGCTTCCAGGCTATGCACACTCGAACACCCAAGCCCCTGCTTTTTTGGTATCAAAAAATAGCCGTCACACATGCTGTTTCCTCTGTCTCTCCCACCACTCTTTGCCCCATGTTCCTGTAGCAAAGGAGGCTCACCTGGCCCAACCTCCCCACTGAAGGTTGTTATGACACAGCCCTCCTTCCATTTTTTACTCATCATTGGTAACTTGACACTTATTTGAGCAATTATCAGATTAATCTCCATCTCTCTCATTAGACTGCAAGCCCCATGAGGGTAGGAACAAGCCTTGGTTTTATAAAACTCTGGTATCCTCTGGCTAGCGAACTCGAAATCTATTCGCATGAAAGGCAAAGAGGACATTTACACAGGACACTGGACAGATGAGGAAGCGAAGAGGGGACAGCGAGGGTGGCAGGCAGACAACAGGGAACGAGTGACAGGAGTTGAAGCAGCAGGTGCCCTGACAGCAGAGAATGAATAATGTTCTAAGTCCCCAACAGGAGAGACCTGGCGGCAAGGTGGGGAGCACACAGGGAGGCACTCAGCATGGTGAGCCCACCAGCTGAATAGATCCAGGCCCTGAGGCAGCCAAAGGCGAAGCACCGGCAGACAGAGCACAGGAAGGAAGGAAGGCAGGCCTGCCCAGACGCTGCGTTCCTGCCAGCTCTATGCTGCACTCATGACGGGCCAGGTCTGAAGACGTCTCTTAATGTTATTATAGGATCAGCACCATGCCAGTCGGGAAGGACACCCTTAACAGAACACAGGGAGAACACACAAGACTTAAAAAGGAACATGGGAGACAAATGCAGGATCCACATCAATAAGGTCAGAAGAAGGCAGACAGTGAGCTGATAGAGCTTTTGGTTCACAGCATGCCTCAGAGATGATTAAAAGAACATGTTGGGTAGAGCAGGCATCCTTCACTGACCAGGGGTGGCGTAACCCTGAGAAATCTGTCACTGAGAGGAAGGTAGGCACGAAGGAAGCAGAGAGGATGGCGAATCGTGGCAATGATGTGGAGCAGGGCTGGGGCAAGCTCTCACAAGCTCCTCAGGGGCAGCCGAAAGGAGCAGAATCCTACTGAGCGCTCAAGTGGCTCTCTTCAGAGAACAACACACCACTGTGTGCATTCAATTAATATTACATACGCAATTTGTTCTGAGCTAGGAGTTTTAACCTACAGATTCAGGGGTGGGCCTGCAGTGGGAATGTCTAACAACTCCGAAAACAGAATGCAAAATTCAGAATATACATGTGTTTATATATTTTTTCCTTCAGGGATGAGGATTTGTGATTCTTAAAAAATTAGATATTATTTAAAGGTGCCCTTAACCAATTCCTATCCACAAAATATCAGAACTATTGTTGTAAGATAAAAATCTACAATAAATTAAATTAGATATTTAAATTAAATACTAAAAATTAGCCCTAGCTGGTTTGGCTCAGTGGATAGAGAGTTGGCCTGCAGACTGAAGGGTCCTGGGTTCAATTCTGGTCAAGGGCACAGGCCCAGGTTGTGGGCTCAATCCCCAGTAGGGGGTGTGCAGGAGGCAGCCGATCAATGATTCTCTCCATCATTGATGTTTCTCTCTTTCCCTCTCCCTTCCTCTCTGAAATATATATATAAATACTAAAATTAAATCAGAAATTGAAGTAAGAACCACTTAGGAGTAACATTTCCCATTTTGGGGAAATTATAACATTCCTCCACTGTTTGTGGATGGAGTGGAGCCTGAAATCCTTTATTCAAACACAATCTTTGGTAACATCCTATGTAATAAAAGCTAATATGCTAATTAGACCGGACAGCGAAACGACCAGTGGGCAGGACTGAAGGGCAGCTGGGGCTGCAAGGGCTGAGCCTCTTGCACGAATTTTGTGCATCAGGCCTCTAGTTTAAAATAATACCCCAACAATTTTATTAACTTTTAGAAAACAAGACTAATATTTTTTTATCATTTTTAACCCCTCCTCCAAACAAGGGGCTTTAAATTATATACTTCAAAGCAGCGATTCTTAATAGTTCTTGACTTTTTCTGAAGGGTAGTTGGGGACACTCTGCAGGGAAATGCAAAGAGTCGTACATGTTTTTTATGTAGCAGGTCCACTGCTGTGTGGAGGTCCCCCTACACCAGCAGCCCTTGTACAGCAGCATGCCTTCTCATCAGCAAACTGGCATTTTAAAAGAAAACGTCTGGACAGGAAGGAGGATCATTACATTTTCTTAGCTTACATATAAATTAGACCATATGTTACCTAGTATTTAAAAAAACAACAACTAGAACAACAAAGATATCTAAAAGTCACAAAATATTAGTGTATCTTTAAATATATATATTTTGAAATATATTTTATTGATTTTTTACAGAGAGGAAGGGAGAGGGATAGAGAGTTAGAAACATCGATGAGAGAGAAACATCGATCAGCCGCCTCCTGCACATCTCCTACTGGGGATGTGCCCGCAACCCAGGTACATGCCCTTGACCGGAATCGAACCTGGGATCCTTGAGTCTGCAGGCCGACGCTCTACCCACTGAGCAAAACTGGTCAGGGCTAGTGTATCTTTAAAATGCAACAACCACGGTTTACAAAAAGACTTTAAGAATATTTATATATATGCAAATGAAATTTCTGGGCTTGCTCTAAGTCAGTATAATTTAAACAGTAACGTGTAGCCTCTCACATTAAATTTCTCTGAAATGTGAAAAGCCTCTGAAAATAACAGACTGATCAGGAAAGCGTTCTGTTCCTCTGGACCAGCACGGCTCACTGGACACAAAGCTCTCTGAAGACTGCAGTTTATAACAACTTCACATTTTCTGAACCTGAGGCTTTCTCAGGAAAGCAAGTTACTCCTCATTTATAATTGAGAGCAGCGCCCAGGTCAGACCCGCTCTGGCTACAGACCTGGGAGTAGTGCTCGCCTGCCCACGCCCCATACTTTCCAGAGTGGCCAGCTGGGCCCAGGAGGCCACCTACCTTGCATGTCAAAGACCGGGTGCAGGGCTTCTTGGTGTCGAGATCGATTACCCCACAGTGTATGTCAGGGTCAAACTCTCTTTCTGTCAATAAAAGCACACAGAAATTACAAAGGGCTCACCAAACACTCCCTTCTCTTATTTTGTAAACAAGAAAACAGGAGAAATCTCAAAACAAATTATATATAACTCGGATAAAATCTACATAATCAATAATTATACAATACCCAATGTGTGAGCACTACAAAGAAGCAGTGACATCACGAAGAGTGAGGATTGTTGCCACTAGATGACAGGAGACAGACTGCTTGAGTCCGCACTACCACATTATTCCATTCAGAAACAGCCAGCTGCTTTTACATTAGCTACACACATGCACTTCAATCCAACCTCGAGGAGGCCAAGCACACTGCTTACGGAAATTCCTCCTAAAGCTGAAGCTGACCAGTGTTAAAAAGAGGACTTATAGACAGCAGTACATTTGCTCCCTTAAGAATGGCCAATTGAGACAGAGAAGCATTAAGAGAAAATGTGAAATTACCTGATAATCTCTTATTTAAAAATTTCTTGTTATTGGAATTATCTTCAGACTTCTTTTCCAGAGTGGGCGGTGCAGGAAGCCCTTTGCCATTCAACATCTGTCCAGGTGAAGGCAAGGTTGGCTTTGGTATTGAGGGGCAGTTAAGGCCAGGCTTGACTGAGGAACTCACAGTAGCAGGACAGGTTGGCCCCGCCGCAGATTTCAGTAGTGTACCATCCATCTTCGGATGAATCTTTTCCATTTTGACAGAGGGCGTCATGCTGTGGCAGGGGAAGCGAGAACACCAGTACCTGAGTGCCCAGAGCCCCAGGTAAATGTGAGCCAGAGGGGGGAGGGAAAGCCTGATCTACCAGGGCACTGCACACAGCGAGGCTCCCCAAGGCACCTGGTGGACATGTGCTAGGACTGTGCAGAAACCTCAGGAAGGTTACCACTGATTCAGGCTACAAGCCCTCTGGTGAGGCACACAGCTCCTGTGACCAGCGCATGTACCTGCTCTTTCATCATTCCAGGACCCCTTGCCCCAGAGCCAGGGCAGATCTAGGGTACCCTTACTCTGGTACCCAGTGCAACTTCTGCAAGAAGCAAATATGAAAAGGACCAAAGAATATTTGCAGGGCGTGTAGAGAATGTCTCTGAGAAATGTCATTTTTAAGAAAGGACCCCAAAAAAGAAAAAAAGAAAAAAAAAAAGAAAGGACCCATAAAAACAAAGGAAACTGAGTGAGCAGAGAAAAACAACATTGGAATTAAAGAATATTTCCAAGAAGTGTCACTAAGGAATTTACAAAAAGAAGCTCTTGACTTGTGTCAATGAGCAAGACCACTAATTAATTAGTAAGAGATGTGTCACTCAAGTGCTAAGTCTCCAGTCACTGAAAATGGTTTCTAATGTAGGAGCTTGAACTGTACATGCCTGGCACACAGCTGCTGAGCACTGAACTGTGACACTAACAAATAACTGATTTCTCTTGGCATCTTATGACATGATAATTTGGGTAGCAACTGTTGGTATGAAGCTAACAGCTGTCCAGGTCGCCCGAAAGCCCAGCTCCACGGGAAGAAGATGTGGCTGACGAGGTCTGATAAACAGCGGTGGAGTCCGTGCCCCAACAGCTGGAGGCTGCGAGGGACACACGCTGCACTGACATTTCTCTGCTCTCAGACAGCTCTAGCCACGAAAGCCAAGCTTGCTGCACTTGCACTTCTGACAGATGAGCAGAGGCCGAGGGCTTAGCAACCAGGACAAACAGCCCCAAACAGCTGTACCTGAGACAGCCTGACAGCAGACACTGCGAGGTGCCATGGCCGCTCCCAGCTGGCAAGCCCTTGAGCAGCAGCAGGTGCTGGACGCTGCCCCAAGATTAGCCAGGTTATCAGACCTTGGGACTGACATGTGGCACGCCCTCCAACGGGAGGCAGGCCAAGGAAAACCACCCGCACCAAGGCTGAGGGATGCCACGACCAGGCAAGATGTGTTCTGTGGGAGTGCCCGGCTGCTCCTCACGTGACCACAGGGAGCCTGCCAACCTTCAGCTCCACTATGGAAACTTGCCCAAGCCTCGCCTGGCCGGGTGAACTTGCCCCGTCTTCCCTCATCGCTGGGGCGCTATGATGTAAGCCCAGGGCTTTGGGAGGAAGCACCACTTCCCTATTCGCTCTGCAGGTCCCGGAAATCCGAGACGGCACCTGGGAATCTCTCCCCACTTTGGTTCCTGCTATTACCAACAGCAGCAGAAGCCCCACCAGCATGTATTTATTCTCTCCTGTGGGCCAGACATTATGCCAGGTGCTTGGTTCTAATATATTAATCCTACTGCTCCTGCTAACCCTGCACAATGGTTGTTATTTTTAGGCTCCCGAGAAAAACAGTGCCATGTCCAAGGCCGCACAGCCAGGAAGTGACAGAGTTGGGATGTGAGCCCAGTATGTGAACGAGGGCTCCTCGGCTACAGCTCCACCACCTCCTCACTGCACCTTCTTCTTACCTGGGAAAGGGGGCTAACGCAATACCTCTCTCACAGGGTGGGTGTGAGTTTCAACAGGTGGCACACAATAAAGAGCAATGAGCGAGTATTATTCACCTTGTAATTAATGCTATTACTACTCTGTTAAGTTGCCCATGATATAATAAACAAAAAGAAATAACATGTATCTGAATTTTCCCCACGTGGGCTCCCTTTCCCAGGATGCCCAGCTACCCTCGAAGGACCGTGTGCACAGTTCCACCTGCATCAAGTGAGCATCAGGACCCTCGCTGCCATACTCACATTCTAGCCTGGGGGACTCTACTCTGCTGAATGGGATGCATTGGCCTGGTGTTCCCCCTGAGCTGCAGTTTCTCTTTGGGCGATTTCAACAGCTTGGAACTTAATGAGGATGCGCTGAGAACACCGCCGCTGGCAGAGCGGCTGCTTCCACTGGCATTGCCGCCTTTGCTTTTGGACAGAGAAGGGAAGAAGGAGAATACTGACGTGGGAGGAACGGCCAAAGAAGGCTTGCTGGCTGAGCTATGTCTTCTTTCTGAAAAGGAAAACAAAGAAAAAAAGATACCGTGTTTTAGGCAAGTCTCCAATGGAACCTGAAAGAGTCCCCTGAAATGCAACACATTCAGGTTCAAAGATGCCTCGCCACATTAAACTCCGCAGCTTTCAGAAAGGGCTTATCTAGGCCCCACAGACTTATTGGGGATTCCAGGAACTGATCCTTCTGCTGAGGAAACATCTCAGCATAAAGAGTGTTATCATTCACAAATAGCCATTAGGAAATTAAATGGCCATTCTAACCTGAAAATACTGTGTTTTGCACCATGAACCTCACTGGCTCCAACTTATAATCAGAGAGAAAAAAATTATTCATTCATCTGCAGAACCCTGCTAATTAACACCTTAAGGAATTCATTATTCCTTTCTAGCATAGTACCTCTCCAATTTCAAAATAGCAAAATGTTAAAAAACAAGTTGTACCTTCCTTTCTTTCTGTCACTACCCACTAGCATATGACACCAAATAAAAATGTTTCTAGGGTTATCTTATCGTTCCTTAAGAATCTGTGCCGAAATTTTCTGATGAATCATTTCACTCCCCTTTTTTAATCATCTCGCTCAACTACAGATGGCATAGCTCCGGTTCACACCATGAAGATGCCAAAGGCGCAAGACAAAAACACCACAAGCAGCTATGCCTGGCATTGAAACCAGCAAGTAATGCACACTTAAGACTACACAGGTATAACGGATAAGATTATTTCCTGGAGAATCGGGTTTTCTCAGAGTAAGGCAATCCATATTAAATCAATTGAGAGCAGCTGAAGAATGTTATCATTGGACACAAGTTATTTAGTAACTTTATCTACTTAAGTACCTTAGGATGGTAAGTTAGTGCCTGCCTTCAATTAAATGTGTCATTTAAAATGACATTTGCTTAACTCTAAGTTTTAAACTGTATGTGATCCAACATTTACTGATTACAATATGAAAGCTCTATGAGTATTTGACAAAGTAAGCATATTAGAATCAATGACTACAAGCATCACTCAAATGGTGTATTTCCAAAGGTCCTTTTATGCCAGTTTTGAGCCTCTCTATGCAGCTGCGATGCCTTGTTCCCAGATGGACATAGTTCAACGATGCTTTATGACAGGGGTGGGGAACTTTTTTCTGCCAAGGGCCATCTGGATATTTATAACATCATTCAAGGGCCATACAAAATTGTTAACTTAAAAATTATGTTGCTATGAAAAAAGATCCTAGACTTACTGAATTTCAAGTCCCGCCTGGGGTTGCCTTGGCAGGGACAGACCAAATGATACGGCCCGCGGGCCGGACGTTCCCACCCCTGCTTTACAAGGGACTTCAGAACCTGCTCCACCAGGACAAAATTATCATGCTATCTATCTACAGACAAAATCCAAATTCTCCAACTGGACCACATAAAGGCCACAACCAGGTTAGGAAGGCAAAACTGAGAGTAATTTATATGTGTCCGTTGCTTTTTTTTTTTTTCCTTTCTCTTCCTGTGTGCAGGAAGGGCAAACTAAAATAACTTAAGTTTACTAATTTTCCAAACTTGACATCTGAGGTTTTTAAATTTAGTTCTCTCTTGTCTGTGATGCCAAACATTCTGAATCTACTTCCCAGCATCAGCACTTGCCAGCCAGGACTGTACCACTCTGTCTCAACTCTGCCACCTGCCGTGGATGGTGAGGCTTTCCTGAGCCATGTCTCAGCCATCTTCCCCTTGGAAGGCATGGCACAGTGCAAGCCTTCCATGAACATCTGCATGATCCATACAGCTTTTCTTGTGAAGAGGAGTGATTTTTTCCCCTTTTTTCAAAGAATAGTTTATTGATTTTCCAGAGAGAGAGAGAGAGAAGGAGGGAGGAAGGGAGGGGGTAAAAAGAGAGAGAGAGAGAGAGAGAGAGAGAGAGAGAAATATCGACGTGATAGTGGAATATCTATCGACTGCCTCTTGCACCAGGGACCTGGGGGATCACGCCCACAAACCGGGCATGTGCCCTGACCAAGAATTGAACCAGCAACCCTTCTATGTACAGGATGATGCCCAACCAACTGAGCCAGACCGGCAGGGCAAGAGGGGTGATTTTGCAAATGATCCTAAACCAGCAGTTCTCAACCTTGGCTACACATTGGCATAACCACATGAGCTTTCAATATACTGAAGCTTGAGCCCTATCCTCAGAGACTGTGACTGAACTGGTGGCTTGGGCATCCAGACTCTTACAAGCTCCCCTGTGCAGCCAAGACTGAGAGCAGGCTTTAGACCAGGCTAGTGCCTCAAACACCATTAACCACAGCTAAGTTAACATCTGTACAGCGCTGAGACCACCACCTGGCACACGGCGCTATATTTCAGGGTTTGTTAAAGCTCACTGCTGCTACTTGTCCTCAACTAGTGTTTTCAAACTTCTATCAACTGCAAACTATTTTCATTGTTCTTACCAAAGCCACATTACATACTACTTTGTGCTCAACATTTTAAATTATCATCTCTACTGTTCCCTACTCCTCCCTAGGCTGATACTACCCAGTCTCTCATTAGGGCATTATTGGTATTTGGACAGGACAGTTTCTCTACAGGTGTCAAGATAGTTAGAATTCCTGGTCTCCCATCCTTTCATCATCAGTAGTGCCCGCCTCTCTGCAAGGGACAACCTGAAACTGCTCTCCATTTTCAGATGGCCCAGCATAAAGCAGAGTACCTCACTTGAGAGATATTTTTCGAAAACTGTAGTACATATGAAAAAATAGGTTTGGTAAGCTTGCTATGTATTTTTCTGATATCTATATATATAAAAGCCTATGCGACCATTCTGACCGGTCGACCGAATTACCTGTCACTATGATGTGCACTGACCACCAGGGGGCAGACACTCAATGCAAGAGTTGCCCTCTGGTGGTCAGTGCGCTCCCACAGCCAACCTCCCACAGCTGGCCAACCTCCCGCAGTCCCTCCCTCTGCCAGCCAGCCCCAATTGGGACTGGGCGAGACGGCTCCGATCAGCCCCAATCTCGGAGCCCCAATCGCCGGCCAGGCTGAGGGACCCCACCCATGCATGAATTCGTATAATGGGCCTGATTTAAAATAATTAAATATTAAAATTAAAATATTCATCCATGTTAATTCATAAAAATCAACTTGTGCATCCCTGGTGGCAGTGTACTAAAGGAACAACACCGTGTCTGTAGTATGAAGAGGGGAAAAAAACCCAACAAGAACTTTGACTTTAAAAAATTACACTCCTGCCCTAATCGGTTTGGCTCAGTGGATAGAGCGTCGGCCTGCGGACTTAAAGGTCCCAGGTTCGATTCCGGTCAAGGGCATGTACACCTTGGTTGCGGGCACATCTCCAGTAGGAGGTGTGCAGGAGGCAGCTGCTCGATGTTTCTTACTCTCTATCCCTCTCCCTTCCTCTCTGTAAAAAACCAATAAAATATATTTAAAAAAAAATTACACTCCTTTTACTGCCCTGCCAGTGGGGCTCAGTTGGTTGGAGCATCATCCATGCACTAAAGGTCATCAGTGTCATTCCTGGTCAGGGCACATGCCAGGGTTGTGGGTTCCATCCCCTGTCGGGGTGCATATGGGAGGCAATTGATCAATGTTTCTCTCCCCCCCTCCCTTACTCCTTCTCTCTCTAAAATCAATAAAAATACATATATTTTAAAAGTACACTCTTTTACTATCTTCTGGGTACCAGAATTCTCAAGTCAAGTGTCTCAAGTAAATGTGATATATTTTCTCTTGATATCAAAGGATGTAGATAAAATTCTTTAATTAAATACATTGCAGTCAGTTCTACTGCAATGCTTGTTTTGAAAATGTTGATTTATTCTAAAGCCATTGATATACTAAACAATTTCAGCATAATGAAATTTTGCATTTGCAAGATTTTTATCTGCAAGAATTAGATAAATGCAGAAAACTACAAGCAGCTGGACTGAACCCTTGGAAACACACAAAATGCCCCCACACCCACCGCCCTCCTTAGGCCACCATGATGTGGGGGGCCAGGCTCCTGTGTGTCTGGTGCTAGAAGTTTCCCTGCATTTAGAGCACCTTTCTCCCACCATGACACAACAGCTCACAGCTGCAATCCCAACACCTACTTCTAGAAGCAAATGCCAGGTTGTTTTCAAGGTAAATTGTCATATTTATTCTACTATTTATGTATTTTTAACCACTTAATCTAAGTCAGTGGTTTTCAACCTTCTGGCCCTTTAAATACAGTTCCTCATGTTGTGACCCAACCATAAAATTATTTTCGTTGCTACTTCATAACTGTAATGTTGCTACTGTTATGAATCGTAATGTAAATATCTGATATGCAGGATGGTCTTAGGCGACCCCTGTGAAAGGGTCGTTTGACCGCCAAAGGGGTCGCGACCCACAGGTTGAGAACCGCTGATCTAAGTAAAACTGGACTACCATTTTTGGTTAGGCTCCTATCTTTTTCTGTGTCACTGAAGACGTTTCGGAGTGTTGTACCCATAACCCAATTTTCCCAATGCGTTTCGTGATTTTTAGTGAACAATTCCTCACAGTGCAATAATTGTTTAGGGATGTGTTGTGTTACAGCAGAACTGACTGTAACTTCAAGCTTGTTGTTTCAATTTTCTATCCCTATCATAGTCCATTTTCCCCATTTTCTTTAGTTAACGCTTCATTTCTTGTTTATTGACTCCTAAAATGGAATTTTGCACTACAAAATCAAGATCCAAAGTGTTCTAACATTAAAAGTCAACTGATGTTATCAATAACATTTTCAAAAAATTATATTTTCTATTTCAACAATAAAAACTATTTAAAAACTGAGAATGGCGATCTATCATGTGAACTTCCTTCATTCACTAAAACTTGAAACAGGCTGAGTACATGCATGCATGCGTGTGCATGTGCGTGTGTCCAAGATTCTGGCTGAAAAGTGCCATCTCAAGTCCTGGTCACACTGCTGAAGTGTGCCGCTCCTTCACATCAGTCTGTGACTTATTCTCTGGAAAGGGT